ATGGATTAGAAGTAAAACAGGTAGATGATATCCCTTCAGCTGTTTTGGGTGGCTATCTAATCACTAGTTTGCCTGTTCTTGATTACTATCAAATGTTTATGGTAATTCGTAGTTGATTGAGAGAACTATTTGCCAACATGATTCAAGATTCTCCAAGAATTGTTTCGGAAAACATGAATGAAGATCCTTCAAACTCTCAAGAATCAAATTTATAGGATCAAGGATCATCTTAATTAACAGATACTAAAACCTGCAGGAAGCTGTATGTTGTTGTTGAGTGTGGTAATGTCTTATGAAGTTGTATAAAACATCTTAATGGCATTCAATTGAAGGTTATTATATACATCATATAGTGAGTTGCAGCATTTTAAACACATTGAGCATGCAAGTTTTCATATATCAGTTGCTTCTTTAAGTTATTCATTTAGAGAACTTCTAAATTAGAAGTAAAAATCCTTGGTCATCCCTTGGTGCGCATCATGGGTCATTAGGTTGAACCGCCTAACTGGAGTCACTCAAGGCAAGATCATGGTTTTTCCTCTTGGATGAGACAGTTCCCTAGCTTGCCTTTTACAACAATGGGGTTGCCATCTGTTATCCCCCATAATCGGGAATTCCCGTTCAGTAGCCTACTTCCCTTATAGTGCAGTCTAGTTCGTCAATATATGACGAGACTTCATTCACGATATCAGAGCTTGAAATTAGAAAACTATAATTCAGCCTCTCTTGGTTATATGTTCCCCATTGCAGAATCCATTACCCTGCCACTACCCTACTCTATTTAGTTTGTATGTGGTTTATCTGGTTTTGGACCTCCGGGATCAGGATTATAATTGTAAACATCATTGATTATAAAAGATGAACAATACAACACGAACACAAAGAGGCTTAGATGTACCACAATATGTTGTACACTAAAATGCAAGCCTCTTATTTTTATTTATTTTTTCATGTTTTTTGTTGGAATAACAACATTTTTGCCTTACATTATATAATCACTCGGTTGTTTTCCAAATGTATGGGATTTGACATGCTTGTTACTTGGTCTCCTTATCCTCTTATCCTATACTATTCGTGGAAAATGGATTTATGGCGTTGTATGCCCTTGCCTTGCTGAGTTTGGATGCCATGAAATTTGCAGGTATCATCTATAAAGCTCATACGTAACAAGCAGACTGGTCAGTCAGAGCGTTATGGGTTCATTGAGTTTGTTTCTCATGAAGCTGCTGAAAAAGTCCTCCAAAGCTACAATGGGACCATGATGCCAAATACAGATCAAGCTTTCCGCTTGAACTGGGCAAGCTTTAGTACAGGCGAAAAACGTGCAGACACTGGTTCAGATTTATCCATATTTATAGGAGATTTGGCTCCAGATGTAACTGATACAATCTTGTATGAAACATTTGCTGGTCGATATCCATCTGTCAAAGGTGCAAAAGTTGTTGTTGACACAAATACTGGCTGTTCGAAAGGTTATGGATTTGTTAGATTTGGTGACGAAAATGAGAGAACAAGGGCTATGAATGAAATGAATGGCCAATATTGTTCAAGCAGGCCGATGCGCATTGGTGTTGCGACCCCCAAAAAGCCACCTACTCAACAACAGTATGGACAGGGACAGCAACAATATTCGTCTCAAGGTATATCTTTCTGGTCCCCGTTCTTTTGTTCTTCCCAATTTGGTGCTCTACATTCGCAAATGTGTTTGATACTACACGTAAATTCTATCTGGTTTCCTTTATACTTTACGTTAGTCACCCAAATTTTGTTGGTTGTGATGGTGAATACTAGTTTCTTGAAATACAGGTAACTGAACTAAGAATCTACATAACAGATTAGGATTTTAATTTCTGTTCTTTTGGATGGCTCAAAGTTCATACCTTTGTACATTTAATATTTCTATTCTTCCATAAAGTTCATACCCCTGATGTTCATGGACAAATATGTTTTATGATTTTGCCATCTACCTTCTGATTTTTTCATCATTAAGGCGTTGGTGAAGGTTGATGACAGGGGATGAGCCTAATAGATCTTTTTGTAATACCTTTCTTTTTGGATTTTGCTAGACGTATATGTTCCCATCATATCAATTTCAATACTTTTTTGAATATGGATACTCTATCTGTTACTCATATATGTAATGCTTGTGTACGTTTAGCTGTGTTATTGACCGGCGGAAGTGGTTCATTTGGTGCTATGCCTCAAAACTCCCAGTCTGATGGAGATTCTTCAAACACAACAGTAAGTTGCTTGATTTCTATGCTAATTAATTAGCAGTGCCAATATTTATTTTAAAATGTTCGTTTTCCGTAGATTTTTGTGGGAGGACTTGATTCTGAAGTCACTGATGAAGACTTGAGGCAAACATTTTCTCAGTGTGGCGAGATCTTATCTGTTAAAATACCTGTAGGAAAAGGATGCGGTTTTGTTCAATTTGCAAGCAGGTAATCATTCTTTTAGACCTTCTGGGAATGAAAAATGTTTGTTTGACCCTTGGATTATCGAAAAAAATGTGGCCATGTTACTAATTATTAATCAAAATTTGGCGCCATATCTCATGTCTCAAGATCACCTCTTGCAGAATGGCCTATTTTCTGACCAAAATCTGGATGCACTAATTACCCTTAATGAACTTAACATTACACCTTTTAAATCTTGTCAAGTTACTTTCTTTTAAAATGTATGAGATTGGTAAGATTATTGCATTTGGAGTGTTGATATGTTAGGAAAGAGCCTCATTTCTTGTTGGAATTTCTGTACACAGAAGCAGTGCTGAGGATGCAATCCAGAACATGCATGGTACGGTGATTGGCAAGCAGACTGTTCGGATATCATGGGGTAAAACTCCTGCCAACCGACAGGTATATATGCATCCTTTTGTTTCTTTTTGTTGACCCTATTCGTAACTTTCTAGTTCTCTGTGAACATATAAAAAGTATACAACTTTAGTTGGTGCATTCACAAGCTTCTTTACTAGATATGATCCTTCTTGAGCATGTTTACGCTTTAATGTTTTGGAATTGATGGCACTTGATCTCCTAGGTTATTTGTCAAGTTTCTAAGCCCCATGTAGCTTGATAATCCATAGGCTATGATATCTGCATTGTTCATTTATCTTTTTCCTTAAGAGACAGTTTTATATGACTTAAGTTTTTGACCATATAATTGTGCGTCGTATGTAAAACTGTTGCAATAAGTTGATTGAACTCATTTTGAGTGTTCTAACTAGTTTTTAGGACACTTATGAAAAGGTCATATTAGGCCTATGAACATGTCTTTTTATAGCACACTTTTTCGGATGATGTCATATAGAAAGGACATAGGTGTTTGGTCCTATAAACTTTAAGTCATATACAACAGTCTATTAGAACATGTATACATATTTGACGTCCTATAAAACCGATTTTGTTGTAGTGTCTGCATGCTTTCCTTTTTATGTCGAATACATGGGACCCAGATCGTACCTCTCGTTTGATCTTCACGAATCTCTGTATATGTTCATGACAGAGGATGGGTTCGAACGGAAACTACTACGTGAAGCAAGGTTATGGTGGAGGTGGAGGTTATGGATATGGTGTGCCACAGAATCAGGATGCGGGTATGTATGCGGCTGGTGATGCATCCGCTTATGGATCAAATGGGTACGACAACCATCAGCAGCCTGTGAGCTGATGGCACTACCTGCTGCTGCTGCTATTTGATTCATCTGAACATCATATGGTGAGATGTTAAAGACCTATTATGTTCCTTTTTATGGGATAAACATCTATGAATGTAACTGGAATTTTGTGAGGATTTCATCCCAAAAAACCATTTTTTTTCTCCTATATTACTACTTGAAACAGTTTAGGACAATTTGAGCTTTTGGTTTAGTTTATTAGAGTCCCTGGAGTTGCATGTTTCAGTTTCGAGTCAAGTATCGAGATGGTCCGAGTTCCAACTCAAAGTCCTGATTCATTTCTTTTAGGGGTTTGATTTATCTATTCGAGTTGAAGGTTAGAGATGTTAACTTTTCTTTTGTTTCACTTGTATAATTTGGACAATGTTTGAGCTAGTGGTTTATCGATCGAAAGTAGAGATGGTCAATAGGAATCGGATCGATGTGCACTTCAAAAGCGGGATGGCAAGGACCGTTGGTTGCATACGAGACCTTATTTACTATATCGCAACCAAAACCCGTTATAAAGGAACTAGGTGTAACGAGATGATCCGATTTATGTGGTTCAAAAACGATATTACAACAAATTGGTTTTATAGGACCTCAAATTCGTATATTTAGATGCCTTGTATAAAAACAAAGTTAAGGTTGGGTGTTATTATAATCTAATAACTGTCACTATCTCCAAATGTGGAAGACATCAATGATAAACTAAATCCTTCTCGTGCAACTATCGAACACTCATCTCATTACGGTGTCACTAGTACCATTTCCTGAGGGACCTGATGTACATGCCGACAAAAGGAAAGAGGTTAGGCTTAACGCCTAGTGAGTTCAAGTAGTTTTCGTCATAATCATAAATCGGTAAAACTGAAAGGCGGCTGAGTTTAAATCATAATTTTGCAAATGAAATGTATTTATCGTAAAAGGCAATATCGTTCCGAAAACCCTCCATTTTCTTGATGGAACTCGTTAATCAGAGTACTCAATTCTACGCAACCAAAACCCAATACTCATACGACCAAGAATAAAGCTATAAAAAATTAAAAACGAGAAAATGGCTTTAGTCAAGTCTTATGAACAATTAACTAACACTTACCTTTGGGAGGGCATAAAAACATCCGAAGATATCGGAGGAGACCCGATTTACCATTAATTGTGACAGAACACATAAGTAAGCCACAAACCAATGTTATATGAGCATCACTGGTCGATAAAGTAACCATAGGCATCAACCTTTCCGGGTCTTTAGTCGAATGAAATAATAAGCTCAATTGACATCAACCTTTCCGAGTCTTTAGTCAAAGAGATGACAAGCCCGACTATATTCAAGTCTTTTGCTTGTGAAGTCACCAACTTCAACCTTTCATGGTCTTTACCTTGAGATCTCCCAAAACCCAGTTAAGCTCGTTCACCTAGAAATTACATAATAATCAAAATGCTTATTTCTCGACTACAAAGGGAAGTTCCATCCCTTACCTATTCCTAGAAAACCGACTTCTATACCTATGGATCCGTTGCATTTTACCCATAAAATTTGATGACTCTAATTCAATGACCCACACGCTCAAAACATGTAATTTTCATAACGAATATGCCTTAAATGCATATAACTCCAAGAGCTTGACATAGAGTAAGTCAAACCGGACAAGTATCCCCAAGACTCATTAAAGTAAAAACAAGCCAAAAGTTCAACAACCCAACTGACTATTTCATAAAAGTCATCAAAAGCAATAAAACGTATTTAACAAATGTTTATGCAAACATATTTTCCCAAAATGATATTAACTCAAAAACCCATCTTTAGTTGAGACAAACCACTTTCTAAATAAAATCATATCCTCATATTTCCAAAATGTCTCGTAACACAATAACATGCAGTTTTCAAACAGTTTATAAAACCAAGTAAACCAAAATGCATTAATATCAAATAATCTTCTTTTGTACAAATAAATCACCAAATGTACACATTCTTGAGTTTTATTTATTAAAATATCCAAAACCCCAAATATAAGTATTTTACAAGGTTTGTTAACCCAAATTTACCAAATATGCAAATTTCATTAAATACTCATCAGATTTGATAAATATCAAGTAAAGCACGCATCAATACTTCAAAATACACATTTTTGACATGTATATAGTTTTTACAAAACAACTTGAATTCACATTGCTAGATTTATGATAAACCTAGGTTTTACTCCAAATCTTGAGCTTTCCTTTGAAGAAATTTGAGATCTACAAGTAGATCTTCCAAATCATAACCCTAGCCTGACCGGCGAGTCTGCCGTCTCCACGACTTACCCTTTTTCAGGCTGCTTCTCAAGCCTGCGAGCGCTGATCAAATAACTGCCATGAATTACACACACGCAAGTAGTGGCTCGGCTAGAGGAAGAAGCCGGAGCCTATGCAATACCGAAGAACCCAAAACCTAAGACAAATATGGAAGAAAAGGACGGAAATGAAAGAACACACAAAACCCTAACTTAAAAAAAGAAGGGATGAAGAGGTTACCTTTCTCGATTACTCCAGAATCCCCAAAAAAAACATTTACTCCTCTTGATCTTATCTTGTAAAGCTTCAAAAATAAACCATAGCAAAAAGAATCACTAAAAACAGATGAAGGATGAGAAAGTTATGACCAAATGAAGATAATCCCCGAATTTCAATCTTAAAATGCAGATCAGACCTTCCCGCGACATAGTTCGCATAGGAGGTCTCCTGGGACCCAAAAACCTTCAAACAGAGGCTCACGCGATTTGGGAGGCGGCCTAGGTCACGGAGGCCATTTCTTGCTCTTTTTCACCGTTTATTCGCGTTTTTCGAGCCCGATTCAAATCATAGACTTTCCAACATGTTTTCTATATGGAAATCCTCATCTATTACCAACTTAATTACCCTTGGTTGAAGAACTTAACATAGTAAAAAGTCCGAAATTGCAGGTGTTATATATACACACATTCAAAAAATTAATAGGATGTCAACTTTAGGTTTTTTTGGCACGGGTTTTGAGCTCACTAGCCCTGGGTTTTTTTGGCACGGGTTTCGAGTTTAGGATTTTTTGTGAATCTTTGAGTGCGATCACCCTTTAATTAAAGAACGGTCAAAACTAGACTCTCATTTTGCAATTGGCTTCCCTAAAAGGTTACAAATGCGGTGACTCCGGGCTATCTGCAAAACAGGTGGTACTGAGATTAGTCAGCTCGTATAGCGGGTTGGATATCCAGGTTAATAAAAAAAATTTGAAATTGTTTTGTAATAACATCGATCATATCATAAATGGAGATGAATTATTTAAGACATTAACAAATACTATCCTCAAAATTCAGAAAACCAATACACAAAAAGGAAATCATAACGTTGGAAATGGACCACTCTTAACCGTGACAAACTGGGGACAGGCTCCCTTCCAAATTCACATGTGAATTCCCCTTTTTTAGCCCCACCTCAAGAATATGCTCTTGCTTTTTTGAGCAATTAAAACGATACATTATCGGTATCGAAAACCGCATTCCTTTCGAGAAAACCCCTTACTACGCACCCGTTTATTTTCTCTTATAAAAACACGACTCTTTTGCAACTACAAAAGAGAGAAAGAAACGATACCGTTTTCCATACAAGATTTAATAGAAAAGCACTTATCAGTTATATACTGTTGTAATATATACTAGAATCTTCTATAAAGCTATAGCATATAGCTTCTGAAAGTCTCATTTGACATTGAGCAATGGACACGATCCAACTTCTTCTTCTTCTTCTTGTTCTGCTTCTCGTGACGTGTAAAGGTCACACCCATGGCTCGCGGGCTAACCAAGCCAACACCCTAATGTCCTTCCGTCGTTCAAGAAACCGAACCCAAGTCAACGAGGAGTGGATCAGTGAACTGGAATTCAGCAGTAGGATTAAAAGCGACGATAACGGGAGGAAGATGGAGGATGACTTAATAGCAGGAGGGCTTCCTGGTCAGCCATCATCAAAACCATTCAGATTCAAACAATATGCAGGTTATATCAATGTTGATAGCTTCAATGGTAGAAGCCTTTTCTACTACTTTGTTGAAGCTCTTCATGAACCATCTTCCAAACCACTTGTTCTTTGGCTTAATGGAGGTATGCAAATTTGGTTCTTTTTAGAATCTGTGAAACCCGTCACGTCACTTTCCAAAAGAGCTTTTTTGACGAGTAAAGAAATTCTAATACTAAAATAGAACTGTTCAAGTTTAGCCCGATACGAGACTCCAACATGTCTTTTCTAACAAAGACTGTTCAAGTTTAAATAGACGTGAGACTCTAACAGCTTTATTCGTTTGTGAAACTATGTCGTACTAGGACCAGGATGTTCGTCACTCGGGGTTGGTGCCATGCTCGAGATTGGACCGTTTGGTGTTAACCCTGACGGCAAAACGCTTTATTCCCGAAGATTTTCATGGAATAAAGGTTCGGTTTTTATTAAATTATATGTCAAGTCATATTCATATTCATTTGTGAATATAACATTTGGGATATATTATTCATATATGAACAGTTGCAAATATATTATTCCTGGAGTCACCAGCAGGAGTTGGATTCTCTTACTCCAACACAAGCAGTGATTATGACTTGTCTGGGGATAAAAGAACTGGTAGGTCTCCCTTTTCATCATAATACACACATACACACACTCATCTTTTTCTTTCTATAAAGAAAGAAAAAGTATTGTCGATTCTAATCGGTTTCTTTTCGGTCGAAGATTCGAGTCTTATCGGAGATAATTCTTCGATGGTTTTCGATTAAAGGGTCGAAAATCCATGTTTGATTCATGATACGACGGTTTTGGTTTTCAAATTGCAGCCGAGGACTCGTACGTTTTCTTGGTGAATTGGTTCAGAAGATTCCCGCATTACAAGAACAACGACTTTTACATAATCGGAGAAAGTTACGCAGGTACAACTACGTTCTAAATTATTTTTTTCATAAAAACAGTTATTTTATTCTTTGGGATCGACAACATGTCAAAATACATCCATCCAACGGACCCTATTTCGAGTTGACATACTGAGGGGCTGTTTGACAATTGCCGAATTGTTTGGTGCAGAATGATTAAGAGACTATCATGATATAGTGCAAAATGAAATACAATTGTTTGGTAATTGCGTACAATGAAATTAGGGCTCTTAATGGTTAAGAGAGATCCATGATACAAAATCATTCAGAGGGTTTTAGAACCATTAAGAGACATTTTTTTTGTCAAACAAGATTCACTTATTAACGATTTAGAGGTTGCCTCTTAATGGAACTATTAAGAGGTAACATTTATTTGTTCGTTTTAAATTATGTTTTAAGTAATTTAATTATATTTCGTAAAAGCAGTTATTTTATTCTTTAGGATCGACAACGTGTCAACACTACAACAAAATCGGGTTTATAGGACACTCCTAATTTTTACGCGTCCTAATAGACCTATTTATAAGACCAAAAAATAAAGTGTAATATCTAAAGATGTTGTAATAAGTTTATATGACGTTTTTTGGCGTCGTAAAAAGTTTTTAGGACACTTTTACCATAAAACGTCTCATTAGCAACTTTATAGAACACTATTTGAAAAAATGTCCTATAAAAACAAGTGTTCTATAAAAAATTGAGTTTATAGGACATTTTCTCAAAAGTGTCCTATAAAGTTGCTAATGCGACACTTTGTATTAAAAATGTCCTAAAAATTTGTTAAGACGCCTAAAAACATCATATAAACTTATTACAACATCTTTAGATATTTTGGTTCTATAAATTAAGTCCTATAAAACGGTTTATTAGGACGCTTAAAGATTAGGGGCTTCCTATAAACCAATTTTGTTATAGTGGAAAATACATCCATCCAACGGACCCTATTTCGAGTTGATATACTGAGTTCATTTATTTGTCGGTTTTAAATTATGTTTTAAGTAATTTAATTATATTTCGTTTTTAGCACAAAATTACATTAATGCCCATCAAATATGTTACAGGATTTTATATCCCGGAGTTGGCCGATGCAATTACAAAGAAAAATATGGAGAGCCATTCTACGTCAATCATTAACCTCAAGGGTATCATGGTAAAATCACAATCAGATATCCAAATTTATTTTGTCATATAAAGGGTGTTTGAGACTCCTTATTTGAAACAACTTATGTTTTTCTACAAAAACATTTATCAATTTATTATAAGTCAGAAGAGTTTAACTTTTTCAAAAACTGCTTATTACCGGTTTGACACCGGTATAAGATGTTTATCCAAACACTCAAACGTGCTTTATTACCGATGTCATACCGGAATAAGTCAATAAGTTGTTTTTATAAGCAATCCCAAACACCCCTAAGCACTCTTGTTTTAACGGTTTAGACCTCCTTTTAACAAACCAAAACCAAAACCAAAACCGCAATTGCAATATAAGAAAATTTCAAATTGTGTGGCTTGTCATCAAGTGACCAAACCGGTCACACTGAACCACAAAATGTGATCTGGTTCGATGGTTTGACCTGTCTATGACTCCGCTATTTGGGTTTATTATGAACCGCGTTCTGATTTTGTTCGGTTTTCACAGTCGAATGGTTTTTTGAACACACCTGGTATCGATAAAATGATGTGATATAATATTTATCTTGTTATTTTTATAGATAGGAAATGGAATAATGAACGAAGATACGGACGATAGGGGATTTAGCGATTACCTATGGAGTCATGCCCTGATTTCGGACGAAACGTACAAGAAATTAACAAGACAATGTATTAACGGTAACACGAGCAAGTACTGCAACGATTTAGAGGAAGAACTCGGGGAAGAAATCGGGAATATAGATTTCTACAACATCTATGGCCCGACTTGTATGCCATTGCCCGATGGATTATTGGCTAGGAAGAAACGTCGTAGAAGATCGGGTGGACCCGATCCATGTGAAGGAGAATACGTCGAGAACTATCTCAATCTTCCGCACATTCAAAACGCTTTCCATGCTAACGTCACCAAATTAGCTTATCGATGGGAGACTTGCAGGTACTTTGGTCGATCAGATAAAGTTGGACCATTTCTATTCAATATACACTGATACATTATTTCCGTCTTTAACTGCTAATGATCTGCGTTTTTCCGTTTGAAGTAAACTCATTGTCAAGTGGAAGGATAGCCCGTCAACCATGTTTCCGATATACAAAAGGCTAATCGCCTTGGGTCTTCGGATACTACTTTATAGGTACATTTTAAGCTTCTTTAAAGACGTTCGTCGATCGTACCCATCTTAACATGAACCTTTATCGACAGTGGAGATGTGGATGCGGTCGTTCCTGTCTCGGGCACACGATATTCGATCGATGCCATGAATCTTAAAGTGATCAAACCTTGGCGTTTTTGGACGGATGCTACCAAACAAGTAATGCTCATTGTTCAGATCAATACGTTTTTTTAGTAGACATAGATACGTGGAACCTCATCAGATTACTCTATAAAATTGCCCTTGTGGAGAAAAAGTGGTTCTAAGGGTCATTAGTCTAGCAGTACCAGATTATCAATAGAGCCCAATCTCCGACCAGGTCAAAGGTTCAAACCTCACAAAATGTGAGAAGTGTGTGTGAGCACTGGTAGCATATAAATATTTTATACTTAAAAAAAACATATATTGTTCAAGTCTAGCTGATGTAGGATTCTAAAACAGTTTAATGCCTGCAGGTTGCAGGGTATAAAGTCGTCTACGATGGGTTGACATTTGCTACGGTTCGAGGTGCGGGTCACGAAGTGCCTCGTTTTCAACCACACCAAGCGTTTGCTTTGTTAAAGATGTTCTTGGCCGATCGCCACTGAAAACAAACACCAACGATCGACCATTGATTAATCCAATCCTGAGTGAATCCAAAATTTACCGATAAAAATCATAGGTGTTCTTGGATGCGTTTTCGATCCAATGAGTCAAAGCTAAAGTTCGATTAGTCTGTCTTTTGTTTTACGGCAAATTGCATAATTATAAAGTGAATCTGTTCTATTTCGATTCCTATTTTGATTAACTTACTTTTCACAAGACACATTTATGAGGTTATAGTAGATCTCATGAGTCGTGACTAGGGGTGCTCATGGGTTGGGTTGATAGAGTTGAAGACATTTGAACAACCCAACCCAATGCTTACGGTTTGAAAAATCTTAACCCAATCCAACCCAAACGAAAGTGTAACCCAACCCAACCCAAATGAAATTGGAACCCAACCCAAACCGTACGGGTTAGTCAGGTTGGTTCGGCTGATACTTTGGTATATTAAAATATTCTTCCAACCTTGAATATGTTATTTATCTACTCATAATTTATTTTTTATCATCAACCATTTGATACACCTTATCCATACTTCTTACATATATCAACTTCAGTTAATTTTCTCAATTTACGTTTATATGTTTACAGTTACTGAACATATATACGAATGAGTTATATAGAGATCTGAATAGATTGAAAAGATGTATATATGAAGAGCCTACATTATAATGTTATTGTCTAATGTATATATTAATAGAAATTGAACAATCATATTAAATCCAATAAATAAAATGATATCGGGCTCATCGGGTTAGGTTGGGTTCAAATAAAAGTAACCCAATATCAACCAAATACCTACGGTTTGAAAATTTTACAACTCGATTAGACATCGGGTTGCTTCAGATTGAGTTATTTCACGTTGGATTGGGTTCGGTTGATCGGGTTTTTGAGCACCCGTAGTCGTGACTAGTGTTTGCAACTTTGTGAGTAAGATGAAATCCACCTTTTATGTATTAGAGATTAGAGAGAATGATTTCCTTGATTGATTAAACAGAATACAAACGTTTATTATACAACAGAAGGGCCACGGGCCAAACGCTATACGGGCAAATAAACTAAGCCTAATAACAATACATTATAAACATACAATGTGATCTGCTAACATTATGACCCTTAAGGGTGCGTTTGGTACGTGAAACAAAATGGTAAAAAAAATTGTTATCCCCATTTAAGGCGACAATAGATTAGGACAGGACATGACAGGACATGAGTAGGACAAAATACAGTAAACAAAAATATGAGAGGAGAGAAATTTGATAAATTACTAAACTGTAATTATCAAATTAAAATCCAAAATCTATAATTTATAAATCGTTGTTATTTCATCCTTATGATTTATAATTTATTGTTGTTTTAATCCTTATGGTTTACAATTCTTTATAAATCGTATTATAACATCTACAGATACAGAATAAAACGAAACATTAAGATTGAGATATATCTTGTTGCGTTGTGCGAGTACCCTTCTAGTAAATAATAATATAGATACTTATAAGACCAAATATATTCAACCAAGTAGGAGTGTAGTTGATGATGAACTTTATTTGAGCGCGTCTCATAATTTTATTGAAGATATTTTTGGAATTCATGGATATAACCTTGAAATATTTGTGTTGAATTATCTACCTCTTCAACAAAATAATGTAATAATTTAATGAAATGATTAAAAGTTAAACTTACAAATACAAAAACTTGTATAAAAAATAAAATAAAAAACTATTTTATAATAATTAATTTATATTTTTATATCAATTTTTAGCTTATATCTTTTATAGATATATTTAAGAAAATGGGTAAAAATAATAAAAACGATAAATAAAATAATAACAGAAAATAAATGTATACAAGAATATGGGTTCTTGTTCAAACATCTGGGTTTTATTAAAAACCTGTGACTGAATAAAAATATCTGTCCCACAATAGAGGTTCAGTATCCATCCGTTGTGCGCCCATTTTAACAACGTTACTATAACTTATGGAAAATAATGCTTTAAGAACATTCAACAACTACATTAAAAATAAAGATCTTGAAAAACCTTAATAACTTTTTGTTCTAACAGTTACGATAAAAAGTACGTTAAATGAAGAAAATAAGAGGAAAATGTGAAAATTTCCAAATTTGTAGAAATCTCTAAAATGAGAAAGAAATAATATTTTAATTAATTTTTAATTAATAAAAGATATTAAAAATAAATGTTTAAAAGAGTAAAATAATATTTTTATTAAAGTTATCGAATATCTTAATAATATATTTAATGTTATAATTGTTAAAATAGAATAACCATTGGAATCAGATGTAACAAATAACATAATTATTGAAGATGCTCTAAGTATTTTTAACAACTTTTTCATAATAAGAAAAAAAAAATGAAACTTTTGGAGCTTTTTGAGTGTTTTTTCTGTAACAATTTCTTCATAATTTTCTTTAAAATAAAGAAATTAATAAAAAAAATTAAATTTTCTTTAAATTTAGAGAATAAAATCTCCATTTTGAATTAATGATCGTCTCAAGATAAACAAACCAAATCAACCAATAAAATAAATGGAAGAAGAAAACGAAAAATACTCTTTTATATTATTGAATTTTAGAAGGATATTCGTACAATGCAGTGAGATACATCTTTATTTTAATATTTTGTTTTATTTTTTTTGACTATTTGATATAATACGGTTTATGTTGTTTTGAGAAAGATAATGTTTTTACTTTTGAATAAAAATAAATTTGAAGATCATAAAAACTTGAAAAAAAAAATTATCGATATTAATATAAATTTAACTATTCAAAATTTGTCGTTTTTTTTGTACAATTTCTTTAGTTCAATTTTTTTTATTATAATTTAATTTAGTTCAAATAGTGAAATAATTTATTTTTGGCTTAATAATAAATTTTTTATAAAGATAATAATTTTGTTAAAACTTAATGATTATCCTAATTATAATTTAGATTTTTTTATACTTGAAATGAGATGTTTATCTTATATCTGAATATGTTTATCTGTAGTTAGTTATACGAATTCAAAAATTGAGCTTTAATAATTTGTACTTACGCATAATTTACTTGTAACCTTAAATTTTAAGTAATATACATTAATACACAGTATTTCATGCATAAAAAATGATTTTTAAGAGTTTTTTTATCAAATATTTTATAATACAGTATATATTTTAATAATATAATTTATATTGAAAATTTTAAAATTAAAAAAATACCAGGGTTGATATAATATTTTTCTTTCCTTTTTTTAAAGAACATTTAATACAGCTATTGAAACAAATTTTTCTTAAATATCTAAATTTTCTAAAATAATATAACTGTTGAATATGCTCTTACAACATTTCAAGCCTCTTACAAGTTTAACCAATCTGACAAAAAAAACCTCTCAACAATTTAAAGATAAATTTAAATTACAGTCGATTTTGGTAATTTTTTTAAAAGTTATGGTCCTTTTGAAAGAAACGAACAAAGTTTAAACCATAAGGGTGGTGCCTAACTGGTTTGAGCTTGACTCAAAAGATCAAAAGTACTAGAAGGTCACAAGTTCAAATCCAAGGAGGAATAAAAATTCTCTTGTGGTCACGGAGGTTCAAATACGGTGACTCTGGGCTATCTGCAAAGCAGGTGGTCGCCCTGGGATTAGTCGGCTCGCATAGCGGGTTGGATATCCAGGTTAATCAAAATGTGTAATTCACTTTAAAATTAATTGTTATTCAGATCTTTTTAAAATTTGTTAACTAAAAATATTTCAAGTATGGTTGGCATGGGATAGTTGTATATTAAAATTTATTCGTTAAAACAGATAATTTTTTGTTATGAAAAAAAATAATTACGTTTAAGAAGTTAAAATATGGTACAACAATATTAAATTAAATTATCAAATAACTGTGAATAAACTACAATAACTGAACTGATATAATAATAAGAAACTAATTAAAAAGCCACTTTTAATATTAAAAAAAAATTGGTTTAAAAAAATAAGGAGTGTTTGGGATTGCTTATTTGAAACAACTTATGTTTTTTTACAAAAACACTTATCAACTTATTATAAGTCAGAAGAGTTTAACTTCTTCAAAAGCTCATTACTATCGGTTTAACACCGACATAAGTTGTTTATCCAAACATTCAAAAATGTTTATTACCGATGCCACATCGAAATAAGTCAATAAGTTGTTTTAAAAAACTTTCTTTCCTCTTTCATCTGTTTTTTTTCCTTCCTAAACCACTTTTCTAATTAATTATATTTTATGTCCTTATAATCAGTTATTTAATTACTTTATAGTGTTTATTTCATCATTTTTATTTTACATTTATCATATTATTATAAATTATCGTATATTAACTAAAATACATTACAAAACTACATTTTTTTACCAAATATATCATTATGATCGTCTCTAAAATATGCTCAATATTGAATATCTTTGAATTGAATCATATTATTAAATATCATAAATACTTACGAATTATTTTCATTACTTACAGTTTATACCCTTATACAAGATCTTGTAGATTCACAGTCTGTTTCCAATGTGTTCACAAACTGTAAAAAAAATTGTCAGTAAATTGTACACAATGTGTTTCGTTTAAGTGCATATTCAATTGTGTGTGTCTGTTATGAACGAGGGTAGACAAGAGAGGAAAGGAAAGACAAGAAATTGGAGGGATAATTTTTAGAAATATATTAAATTACATTTTTTAACCAACATTTTGTGGTCTAAAATGGATATTTTTTTTATGTTCCCAAAAAACTTTTGACACATTTCATTCTTTCATGCCTCTATATCTTCTCCCCATCCCTGAAGATGAGATTCAAACTGATATTCACCATGAGTTACTAAAAAATATTTCATCCATCTTCCATTCAATTGCTCTAAAAATCTCGGTCTCGCTCTCGATCTCTTGATATAAATCGAACACATTTGTGGAGTCGTTTAAATATGTTGGATTTTAATTATATTTCATTTTGAACCGTCATACAAATTTTTTCATCGATAGACTGTAATTGGAACCATAACTCTTATTTATTCAAATTGTATTAATATGTAAAAACTAAGTGTAACTTATATCATCGTTAAATCTTCTCTAATAAAACCAATGAAACTTCAAAATCGTTAAGATTCACGGCTCCCGCCGCCTTGCTCGAGAATAATAATAATAATAATAATAATAATAATAATAATAATAATAATAATAATAATAATATAGTTAACATCTCTATAATAATTAATAATAATATAAATGTATAGTATGATAATAATATAGATAAAATAATAATCTTAAATACCCATAAAAATAAAATATAATGTATCTTGTTATAATAATATAATTTTAAAATAAAAACTACATTTCATTTCATTTCATTAAAAATGCGTTCAGTTTTCAAGATGGTTTACACACCTTAAAGTTCATAATTTGAATTGGCGTTCGACCAAACCGTAGTTGGTGTTTAACTCATTCGTTTGTCCTATTGCGACATTTTTGTGGGTCGATAACAACCCAAAAACTTCTGATATATCTGAAGTTATATAGATTTGTAAGTTCATGTTTTCCAATATGTTCATCATGCTTATGGTGTTTTATAGCTGTTTTAGCAATTTGTTTAAAATTTTCTATTTTTGAACTTTAAATTAAAAAAAAAACAGATATTAGGAAACAGACACTCAAATAATGGGTGAAAATATTTTTCTGTAACTCCAGTATATTTTGTATATCATTTTAGTACGAGGGTATTATTATACTGTTTTCATAACAGCTAATTCCATTAATACGCAATATTTTAATGGTAAAAGAGATATGAAAGAAATAATTGACCAAAATCGTCATGAGTTTCTTATTTAGAAGAATCTTAATGATGTCAGTAAAGATATTAACAAAAACAAACCTAGTAATCCGTCAAATATATATTTCGCCATTGAATCATGTCATTTCACATTGAGCATCGGTTTCTAAGAGCTTCCAGTCAAATCAGATCGAGTCTAAACTAACCCACTGTCAAAATGAAGTCTGCTTTCGTGTTTTTCATTCAACTTTCTCTCTTGATATGTGCTCAATGTGTTAGGAACCGACATGACTTTATTACAAAACTCCTAGAAGTCGAACATTCTAGAAAAACGTACGTAAGCGAAGAGCTGATAGCTGAGGATTTGCACATACACACGAGCAGCCAACTCGGATTGAAGGAGGCTGACAAGATTTTGAAGTTACCAGGACAGCCAAGAAAACCCTATTTTAATCAGTATTCTGGGTACGTGACGGTTGATCCACAACATGGTCGAGCTCTATTTTATTATTTTGCCGAGTCATCAGACAAATCTTCTGAAAAGCCTCTCGTCTTGTGGCTTAACGGAGGTACGAAAGTGCCCAAATTTTACATTTTCACAAATCTTTGTATTTTATGTCTGTTTAATTACATATTAATTACTGAGTTTTTTACAGGACCTGGATGTTCTTCAATCGGAAGTGGAGCGATGATGGAACTTGGACCATTTCGAGTCAACAAAGATCGTAAAACTTTATCAACAAACGATTATTCTTGGAATAAAGGTAAATTATTTCTCACGATTATTAAAAAATGACTTTGTACTTTTTTTTATTGATTACTTTATGTGGAGAAAATATAAAAGAAGGCGATTTTTTTATTGTTACTTTGATTCTTTTTTCATTAATCTAGATATCCAACTCGTTATACGAGCCGATTAATAACAGGGTGACCACCTGTTTTGGCGGTAGTCAGGAGTCACCGCATTTGAACCTTCGTGACCATAAGAGATTTTTATTTATTCTTGGATTTGAATCTGGGACCTCCAGACACTTTTGATCTTTAAAGCTCAAACTCAAATCAATCAGACACTACCCCTGTGGTTAATATTCGATTCTTCAATATTTTTAACAAACCACAAGTATGAAATAAGTAATTTACTCCAATATTTATATTTTAGATGTTAAATTATATTTAAATGTAAAATCTGATTCAATTAATTATTATCACCCTTTCTATTGACCTCATAATTATTAACTATTAATATTGG